TGGAGCTCGGCTGTCATCGTGGCCATCATGATACATGCCACCTTAGTAGCATCTCTCTCATGAGTCCTGAATTCAGCGATCTCCTCAGGAGTAGCAGTAGACTCATCAAGTTCTTTTAACTCCTTATCGAGGACATATTCCTTGTCCTCGTAACGAGTAACCATCCTGATGTTCCTAATCCAATCCATGAAGTTGGAACCATCAAAGATGACCCTCCCACAAAGATTCATGAGAGAGAAAGAACCAGTTGGGTTAGAGCCTGAAGCATTAGTGTTGGAAGACATCTGAAAGAAGAAAGTAAGTTTAGATTAGATATTTAGGATCCTTAATAAGACACCCAAATGTAATATTAAGGCTAGGATCCAATCACAATATATTACACTTAGAAGAGGGATGCCGTAATCTAAGTAATAATATATTTGAAAGGTAGGTGAATGACGATTCACCAATTTCCACCATGAAAACGAAATGATTTATTAGGTTTAATTGGATTTGAAATTCCTAGATTCTTTTGAGATTCATTGAACTTTTCAATGGCATGTTTCAATCTCGATTGTGCCCTTCAAGTTTTGTGACTGGGATGCCGAGGATCACAAAACAAGGTGTGAATAACCATGCTAACTCACTTGGTACTCTTAATATTATCACCTAATCAATGTGCCGGTTAACCACACACGCTCCATTGATCTATGACAACATTAAGTCACCCTTCGTGATCCTTACTAGTCCTAGTTAGTGTGCCGGTTAACCACACACGCTCCACCAACGACTTAGTAAGGTACAAAGTGTGAATTCCATGGACTAGCACCATGTTCACATTTTTCCTAAAATAACTAAGATTGGGAATTAAAAGAGTTTAGTTACTTTATAATATTCATTATACTTTTAATGAGGATTTAAAGTCATTGTTCTACCCGTTCGGCTAACGACCCTCCACCGATCAAGCAAGCGGTGGGTGAGAGTATACACCCATTAAGTTGCCATTTTATAGGCAACAACCTTATACCCACCTTATAGACCGGCTTCGTGAATGAGGCATACTAACGGTAAAACGACTTATTCTTACACATATATATAATAATGACAAAATTGCAAAAATGGTCCCTGTGGTTTGCATTTTTTTCAGGAAAAAAGTCCAAACCACGAGTTTTTTGGTTTTGTGGTCCTTTTGGACTGGTTTGTTTGTGAGAATGGTCCCTATACTTAACACCAGTTAAATTCCATCCGTTAACCCCCTCATGTGCCTTGCACATGAGGGTATTTCTGTCCTTTTACTTATAGGGACCATTTTTGCATATGGAAAAATAAAACATCCTTTATATATCGTTTTCTTTTCTTTTCCCAGCTTCTTCCCCAACAAATCTTCTTCCCCAACGTTCTTAACTGTTCTTCCCCAACGACTATTATCTTCCATTTCTCCTTTCCTGACTTGCAATCGAACAATGGTGGTTTGTTTTTGTGGAAAGCTTGCTTTGGTGAAAACGTCTTGGACACCACTGAATCCCGGCAGGAGGTTTTATGCTTGCCCTACTAAGGATTCTGTTTGTGGGTTTATCGGGTGGGTTGACCCACCTATTTGTGCTAGGAGTAAAACCATCATACCTGGTCTTCTAAGAAACATAAATACATTGGAGGAAAGATGTAATGGGCTGGTAAGAAGTATCAACATGTTACAGGAACAGTGCAATGGACTTTTGAGCAGGAACAACATGTTGGAGGCAAGGTGTGATGCATTGAAGGATGAAGGTTTCAAGCTGAAGATGTATTTATGTGCAAGTTGGTTTATGTTTGTGATTGTTATCTTTAGTACTTGGTCTATGTAAGGGATAGGGTTAGGCAAATGTGGGGATTTTTGTTGATCAAGTGATGCAGGGTAAAAATGGTATAATTTTGTTGTAATTTGACTTCATCATGTTTGTAATGAATTCCAAAATGTGTATCAGTTGTGTTCAAAATGTGTATCAGTTGTCAGATATAAGCACATAAATAGAACCAAAATGTAACAAAAGTACATTACCAAAATACATGTCATAAATTTACCAAAATGAACATTCCATTAACCACATGAGTGGAACCAAAAACCATTACCAAGTTAAGCATACAAGTGTCTGTGCACCATACATAACCACATCATCAAACCATAACTAAAGTTTTCAAAAACAAACAGTTTTTAACAACAAGAAACTAAATAGTCATTGCACCACAACAAATAACCACAATCACTTCTTAGATTGATTCCCTCCTTGCCCTTTACAGGTCCTAGAGTTGTGTCCTTTATTCTTGCATTTGCTACAAGTAACACTAACATGTTTCCTTGATAGCTTCTGCACTCCATCATTTCTTGGCCCTTGGGAATTTTCTCCTTGCATCTCATTGACTCCATCACCTGCACTTGCCTTCTGCCTTTTGCTTAACCTTTCACCCTCACTTTGTCTTCTTTTTTTCTTAGGCCTTCCCACCTGAGTGTGATGTGGAGGAGGGATTAGCTTTGTTGGACAATTACTTTTAGGCCACATGGGTCTCCCTTTAATTGGTTCCACCTTAAATGAATAAGCTTTTTGCCATGTCTCTAGCCAATACACCTTGTGTACCCACTTGTAAATGTCAAGCTCAGCCTCAGGGTCTTTGCTCATTTCATTCAGAGTTGCAATTGCATGCCTGCAAGGTATTCCCATTAATTCCCACTTTCTGCAAGTACAGGTTTGGTTCCTAACATCCACCACATGTTGATCTTGCAATGCTGCAGTGACTTGATACTTGTTTGCCCCATTCCACCTAGCAATATATTGTGAAGCACTTTTTTTCCTTGCATCTAGGATGTCTGTTGCTGTAGGTGTTAGTGGACCTTTAGCCTTCTTCATTGCCTTCATGACATTGCATATCCTCTTCATTAGATACTCCCTAATGAACTCTAAACATGAAATTACAGGTTTGTCCCTGCCTTTCTCTATCTTCCCATTAAACACTTCACACATGTTTGAAATCAACACATCAGAAACAGCTCTTCCTGCACATTACAATAACATACAATTAATGCTGATAAATAACTGAAACACATAATCTTTACCATATGCAAACATATACAATTACCTGAGAAATGACTCCTTGCCCAATGTACAGGAGGAATTTGCTTCAACCATTGACATGCCTCCTTATCATACTCACTAAACTCTTTCATCAAATGTTCAAACTCAGGAATGGTGGTTGCTGATGCACACCTCCATAAATGGTCCCTGTACTCAGTTTGCCCCCACTTCTTTCTCATATTGTCATGAATATGTCTAATACAATACCTATGCTCAGCATTGGGAAACAATTGATCAACTGCAATTTGTAATCCCTACATGACTCAACATACAATAATTAGAATTAATTTCTTGGTAAAAAAACACAATCTAAATGATCAATTGATGAGTTTTAATTTACCTTTTGCCTGTCACTTATGAAAGTATAGTTTGAGTTGCTCCCAAGCTCCAAGTCATCCCCAAGGTTTTCTAAAAACCACTTCCAGCTAGCTGTGTTTTCAGACTCAACAATTGCATAGGCTAAGGGATAAATTCCATTGTTGGAATCTAGACCAACTGCTGTAAGAACCTGACCAGGGAATGGGCCTTTCATGAAGGCACCATCCAAACCTACTAAGTCTCTAAGACATGCTTTGAAACCTTTTTTCAGTGGACCCAAGCATACATAAATCCTTCTAAACTGCCTTGTTGGGGATGCAGGGTTGCCATTAGGACACACATCTATTTTGACTGTTGTGTCTGGGTTTGTAGCTTGAAGTTCAAGAGCATAGTCCCTCAACAACTCAAACTGTTTTGTGTAGTCCCCAGTTACATGCTTTCTTGCCATATCTTTTGCCCTAAACACCTTATCCATTGAAATACCCACCTGGTAGGTCTTTTGAAAGTGATCTTGTATGGCTCTCAAAGGAATCTTCGGATCTGCCTCAACTTGATCTATGATTTTCTTGCAGATTAAAGAAGCAGTACAAGCTCTGAGTTTTCTTGTTTGTAAGCATGTATGAGTTTGGTTTAAGGTCCTTATAAACCAATCAGATTCGGGGTTTGACCTAGATGCATGTATATACCAACCACATGTTTCTTTTTGTGTCTTTACTTCTTTGCCCTTGCTTTTTGAAGTGGTAGGTTTAGTCCCCACTTGACCTTTATTGATGACAGGTACAACTCCTCTGCACTGTGCCCTAAGCCTTTGACTGTCATTTTTTTTAAAGAATAGATTCCTTCTTGTTTCTAGTGCGTGCACATCAATTAACTCCTTTAATTCTTTTTTACTTTTAAACTTTTGCCCCACTGAGAATGACTGTATATGTACTGACCCAAAGTTGCACCTTTTTTCTTTTCCCAAATTTCTTATGAGAGCTCTTCTTTCTCTGTCTTGGTCTGATCCTTCATCCAATGATTCGAACTCCTCATTGTTGATCACTTCCATATCTTCAGGTTCATGACCATCATTAATACATGCTCCTTCAACATCACTTTCAACATTTACAAAGAAGTCTGCCATGTCCACATCAACATCTTCTATATTGTTCTCCTCATCCATTATGTCATCCACTTTATCTTCATTTTCTGATTGTTTCCCATCATGATCATCACCTTCATCCTTTTCATACTCTTCATCACTCTCTTCAGATTCAACATCCCCTTCATACTCTTCAACATACTCATCACTTCCATTTAAATTTTCCATAAGGTTGTCAAAAAGTTCATTATATTGTTCATCATCATTAATGGGTGGGGTGTTGTAGCATCCATCAATCATCTCATCCTCATTAGTGTTTTCCTTCTCTTTTAAATCATCAATATCCTCTAAATTAAGCCTCTTGCTACAAGAACCTTCCTCTCTTTTTGAATTCCCAACTCTACCCCTTCTATACTCTGGAGAGAATGCATCAGTTTTACTCCCAAAAAGAATCAAAGACATGTACTCACCAATTGGTTCATCATTGACATGGTTCATATTTCTCAATGGAGATTCTACATGAACTTCAGCCTCATATTTAGCCCTTGATCATCATTTTCTGGTAATTCCTCAATGACAACTTTACCCTTTGCATTTGGAGACATGAAGTATGTGAGTAGATTTGTCTTCCCATGTTCTGTGTACACTTCAATCAACTTGTTATTTTGAATAAATTTAGAAAGATTGATAACATCCTGATCATTCCCTAAAGCTCTAAGACCAAATTGAAAGTCACCATTGGGTATCCTGAAATGGTAGTATATCACTGGGGATTCAACACTCAATTCAATCATCCGTGGGTCTGGGTAACCTAGGTCAAGCATTATGGCATCAAGTTCATGTACAGAAAACTCATCTATGTCCACATAATCAACATAACGCACTTCACCTCCAGTATACTTTATGTCAGGTAACTTAGTAAACTTCCCACCATGATGAAGCTTAATACTAAACCATGTGGGTGCACCCGCTACAAGTCAAAATTGTACATGATAACAAAGTCAAAATTTGGCGGATTTTAGTATAAATCAAGGGTAAAATGAAAAATAGGAATGTTTAAGAAAACAGAGCAACTTACCATATAAGGATGATACGTCGACAACTTCATTTTTTGGTCTGATCTGCCACATTACGTACACCATTTCGACTTTAAAGTATGACCTTGTCTCCTTTTGCTTCGATTAGGTTCTTTCGATAACGACTTTTTTTTTTTGCAGGTTTAATGGAGCAGAAGGAAGAAGGAGGGAGGTGGGGAGTTGACGGGTGTTTGGGATTGTAAATGAGGGATAAAAGGTAGAAGGAAGTGTTGTCCCTATAAGTAAAAGGACAGAAATACCCTCACGTGCAAGGCACATGAGGGGGTTAACGGATGGAATTTAACTGGTGTTAAGTATAGGGACCATTCTCACAAACAAACCAGTCCAAAAGGACCAAAAAACCAAAAAACTCGTGGTTTGGACTTTTTTCCTGAAAAAATGCAAACCACAGGGACCATTTTTGCAATTTTGTCTATAATAATTAACCATTAATGTTATAAATAGTATAAGGGTTGAATTTTAACTATTAAAACTCTAAGGTTTGGAATTAAAGTTTATTAAAGTGTGTGAAACTTTACAAATTCCAAAACTTGAGGGCAAGTTTTGTAACTTTGCAAAACTCTTCATTTCATAACTTATGAATTAAAGATCATAAAAATGAAGACTCTTCATTTTCATGTAACTTATGTGTTTTAAGTGTGTGTTAAATGAAAGTGACCTTTGGTAATCCATAACTTGAGGACAAATTATGGACTCCATTAAAACACATAAATGATAAAGAATTAATCCTAAACAATTCAGCAAATAATTCCTATCATTTTCTAAATTCATAAGAACATGAACATGATCATCAAAAATTCAAGAATTATATGAACACATAAAATCATGGAATTTTGATATATGCTATTGTAAATGGATTAGAACAACCATTACACCAACTAAAATAAGTTTTATAACACCAAAACAATTTAGGGTAATGTTTCTAGTCCATTTCCAGTAGCAAAAGTCGAGGATCTGCATTCTTTCGATCCTACTCGTCGAGTGCATGAACTGACTCATCGAGTAGGTTGAATTTTTCCTTGGACTCGTCGAGTCCCCCCAATGGACTCGGCGAGTCCACCATGCAGACAGCAACGATTTCGACTTTTATCACTATTTTGCATCAAGTATCAAACAAGCAAGCCTAGGCTCTGATACCACTGTTGGGTTTTGAGCAATCTAACACTTCCTAAGTGTGTATGCAACCCTAATAAACCTTGGATCTATGTTTGTCTAAATACATGCAAAATATTAATTTTCCAAGGTTTATAACCTATCTAACATGGCATGGGGAACATTTCAACATAAAAGAGTTAGAAGAGATTACATACCTTTTGGAGAGTTGGGTTCTAAGGAGTTTGAGGGCCAAGCACCAATAGTGTGAATGCCTCAAATGGAATCACAAACACCACAAACTCTTGGAAAACTTTGATGAGAGTATACACCTTGTATAAATCGGCCACACACATGCACACACACACTAGTTCACTAGTTTTCTCTTAGGCCTCATTTCATGCTCCATAAGCATGCTTATATAGTGTGCATGGTTAGGGTGAAACCCTAATAACCCATGTCTTTTCCTTTTCCAAGGATCCATGGGTTAAAAGCTCCATGGATCATCCATGGACTTCCACATAAGCCTAGCCCATTAACAAATGAGTATTAGCCCACACTATATAAAACAAATAGCCCATAATTTAATTAGTATTCCTTTTAATCTCTAAATTAATTCATAATTAATTTAAGACTAAAACTAATTAAATAACGTAACTTCATATTAATATATTATAACTCATAATATATTAATAAACATATGTGTATAACTCTCATAAAATTATCCATAATAGTTTGGATGAGATGCAACCCAAATGGACCATGCCGGTCGGGTCAAGTATATACCAAATAAGTTATGGACTTAGACACCTTATCCAACAAATATAGCCATGAGGTGGCTGCCTGATGTGGATGAGTGTTTTTTTTCACATGCTCATGTCCTAATGACCAGAAGGTCATATGTGCCCTGAACCTACTAAGGTCTGGGGCAAAGGACTGGTGGAGGTTGATAACTCGGTCTTACACTGATCATTAGAGAGTTGCGGTTACTTGGGAACAGTTCGGGGATATGTTTCGCGCTCGCTACATCCCGTGGGTCGAGTGGGAGGGGTTAGCTTAGGTGTTCTTGGAGTTGAGACAGGATGGTGAGACGGTGACGGAGATCACCCGTATGTTCACGGAGAGGGTGATGTTCTACTCAGAGTTTGCTTCCGAGCATGCTCAAGACTGACATCTGTCAGTTTGTTGCTACCAAGTGTTGTTATACACTATTGGAGTTACAGGAGGCTGCTAGGCACCGTGAGCTTGAGATCGAGTTACAGTTACAGGAGCAGAGGTAGGTCCCGACGGAGTCACAGCCAGTGCCAAAGCGGTCTAAGACCACTGATTCAAGGATAGGAGGACAGCAGAGCCACACTTGTGGCAAGTATACGAAGGGTCACTCAGGGGTTTGCAGATCTGGTAATGCATGACGCAAATGCGGAAAGGAGGGGTACTTTGCGAGGGATTACCTACAGCCAGTCCTGTTTCAGGATACAAGGATTTGCTACTACTGCCATCAAGTTGGTCTTGTAAAGACCAACTATCCACATCTTGCTGCCAGGCCGGCACAGGCTCCAACGCCAACCACATTAAGGATTATTGATGGGGGCCAGGGTAGACCAGAGCCTCCGAGGGCTTAGGGACACGCCTTCCAGCTTACAACAGAGGAGGCCAGGGCAGCACCAGATGCGGTTTCTGGTATGTTTATACCTTTTATCTTATTGTTTATGATTATATTGTGAACTTTACATTATCTTGTGCATAAGATGTTAAGACATAGGAAGATCGAGGGAATTTAGTATCGAATGGTTGTAGATGGTTAGGATCCAGGGATGCATTGAGGATGAGAAGTTAGGATCAAAAATCACCATTCCAGGGTCAGTAGTTGTGGTTTGGAGATTCAGAAGCATTCATCTGGGATTCAGGTTTCTCTTGAGGTTCGGTTGCTCAGTTTCAGGAGGGTTATTCTGCGTAGGTTATTCATTCCAGGGCTAATCATTCCATGGTTAAGTATGGTAATACCTAGTAGGGACAGTTAAGTTGTGTTTTGGTTTCACCACCAATAGGTAGTGGTTAGTGTCCCAAGTGGGGGAGATTTAGGAATTCTTAGATGAAGCATCAGCCATTGAGGGTTTTGTTTAGCTGTCAGGGCCCGAAAATACTTTCAGCACGGATGCGCGGGTTATTTAGCATGTGTGGTGGATACGCGGGCTAGGGATCAGACCATGGTTTCCGGAGAGGGTGGGCGAACAACATGAGGTCTAGAGTTAGGCCAAGATTATAGTCTGCGGATTGGATCAGGAGTTCGAAACCCCAAGTGGGGGAGAGCTGGCTATATGAGAGTGGGCACCAGTATGAGTCCAAGGTTATGCTTAACAGAATTAGGGCGGTCATGTTAGACTGAGTGCCCGTGGCACGTACTAGTCAGGTTGAAGGCCCGAAGGATGGTCGAGACAGGCTGAAGGCCTAGAAAGGTGGTCCAGACGTGCTGAAGGTTCTAAGAGTGGTCCAGTAGGTTGAAGGCCCAGTGATGTGGTCCAGTCATATTGAGGACTTTGTATGTATTTTATTGGATCTACGTTTTGGTAATAAGCGCACTGTTTTGTGATAATAACCCGTGGAACTGTATGTTAGTTGTGCTTGCTGGTTATCACCTATGGAGTGCCCTTAGGAAGTGTAGGTGGTCACTGGGAGAGTCTGAAGACTCTTGGGCAACAATTTGTTCCATAAGGAAGTCGCCTATGGTAGGACGTCGGTATTGTGATGCTTGTTTGGTGTTGTGTGGGACGACGATTAGGTTCCCACAAGGCAGTGAAAGGAGGAGAGTATCTCTAGGACTCATGGGAAGGGACAATAAATGTAATACCGACAAGGTCGGTATGAGATCAGGAGCATTTCATCCATGGATTGAGGACCTAGTAAGGGTAATCCACTCATAGGCTATAGGCCAAATGGCCAGGATTGATCATTTAAGCTCTTTGCGATACTCTCAGTGTGACACTTTGATGGAGATCGGAAGACCCATTAATTAGTTGGTTTGAATAGGGAGCGGTCAAGGGTCGTTGGAAGTGCCAGTCGGGTGTCAGATTGAATCTGTGGAATGTCTGCGCTGTATTCCAGTGTGTTCACAAGTTGTTGTTAGACATCAAATGTAATGTGGAAGTTCTTGGTTGATCATCTTCTTTCGTCACTCCAGAGATTGGTAATGGCATGGAAAAGATTCAAAGGTTATATTAAGGCTTTGGTGTATCATATGGATTTAGATTGTGAAACGTTCGCTATCGACCTGTTTGAGGGTCTTCTCTGCATGACTTGTGGTAGTTTCACTTAGAAACTTAGGGTGGATTCATGGATGGCCATTTCAAGATGGCTTATAGTGGAAACTTGCGTTGGGGATCGCAAGTGTATTCGTGTGAGGCATGCACTCTGGAGGTCGGTGAGGTAAATGGGGGAAAAACTTTTGCTTGTAGGGTGGATCGAGAGTAACAGGCGAAAGGTATGATATCATCTACGGGAATCGAGGGTTATTGGGTTAGAGCGTACTTGTCTGTCAGGTTCTGAGAACTGGGTTAGATCTTGTTCCTGATTATTTATGGTACCACATTGTGTTGGGAGGGTTGAGGCGGTCCTTCTAGATACAGTAGGCCAAGATACCCGGTGCAGGCCAACTGTAAGTCGTAGGCACGGAGACTCGATATAAGCAGTAGGGTTGCGACAGTTGGCCAAGATACCAGGTATGAGACGGCGGTAAGACGTAGGCACAAAGGCCATGAGGATCGGTAGGCCTACAAACCCTAAGCATTTCAATCCGGTGGTTGATTGGATTCGACATATTGATATTTCAGTCCAAGGCTGATCGGTAGGCCTTCCATAGTCCATGTTATCACTGAAAGTTCAGTCATCAAATAAGTTCCCTTGAATGGATATATAATTTCTTCTCCAACAGAGAATTATCAGCAGCCAAGTATGATCCATAATTGTGTTATGGGAAGGACTCTAGGTTTTCAGAGTGTGATCCACATCAGAAAGGAGGGAATTTGGGTTTCCGATTTATTGGGCCATTTTGGGTTTGCCAATATTGGCAAGGAAACATACCGACTGGGTCTCCACGAGGAGCTC